GGGGCGAGCCGCAGCAGCAGGAAGAGTCGGCGATGGGAGGCGGAGGGGCTGTTTTTTGGATGCCACTCGGACATCCACCACGAGTGCCGTGGGCACCGAGTGGGGTGTCCACGGGTACGCAATCCGCCAACGTGCCTTGTGCACGGTGGGGCGTGATAGAATACTCCTCTGCTGGCTGGTAAAGTTTCTGTACTGTTTCCAGGGCCGCCCCCATGCCAGGGCCGCACGCATCTCTAGAAAATCTCCCCCCTCTCCTGAGCCGATGTTGGCTCACTTTCCAAATTAAGTTACTGATTTGGGGGGCTCTGGCCGAGAAGAGGCTTTGGCCGAAGGAGTCAAACCAATCAAAAACAGCACCCGCACGCAATCATAGGCAAAGACTTGAGACACTAGCCAGCAAGACATCCCACAACAGCAATACAAATATTTCAAGGCAGCCAAAATAGCCAAACATGGCCTCAAGACAACCAAGCTCGTCCTAAGACGCTCAAGCGGCCTGTAAGGCGGTCCCAAGACTGCCCAAGCAGCCCTCCAGACGCGGCCCCAAGATGGCCTCCAGAAGCGGCGCCAAGATGGCCTCACATCGGCCCCAGAGGTCCCCAAGACGGCCCAAAAGGGCTCCAGGAGGGCTTCAAGAGGACGCCCAAGAGGCCCTCAAGAGCAAATCCGCCACCGTGCCCTTGAGGCACGAGTTGGAGTGTCCTCAGGTCTATAGTTCCAGATCTTCTGGGGCTTGCCGCGTGCCTCCTGGGCCCTGGGGAGTGTTCCCGGATAACTTTTCTGGGGGCGCGAAAAATACAAGCAAGGGGGGCCAAGAGCGCCCCCAAGAGACCAAGGAAGCCCCCAAGACGGTCCAGGAGGACCCCGAATCTCGGAAAGATCGCTTTAAGATGCCCACGATGGCATCAAGACGGCGAACGATGCCCAAGATGCCCCAGGGACGCCTATCAGAGGCCTCCCAGGAGGACCCCAAGATGCACACATGATTCATTTCCCTTCGGTGTTTGCAGCATGTTGCTGTTTTCGCCGTTTCGGCTTCCCGACACTCCAGGACGACCAACGAAGCCCCCAAGACTGTCTCAAGACGGCCCACGAAGCCTCTAAGAGGTCCCCAAAACGAACAAAAAAGGACATCACGGCAGCCCAAGATGCGCCCAAGACGGCATAAACAAGGGCTCCTAAGTTCGCGCTTCGCGCTGCGCGAAGCGCGAATAACTTCGCGCTCTCGCGCCGCCCCCCAACGGGGAGAAGAGGAGGACGAGGAGGAGGAGGAGAAGGAACGAGGACCGCGAAGCGCGAAGCGCGAATAACTTCGCGCCCTCGAGGGAGCCCTTGATAAAAGGCCCCCAAGACGGCTCCAACAGGGGGGCCCGACGGGGGGGACCCCGACGGACATTTCGAACCCTCAGCCCTGGGAGACTCCACCAGGAAGACCCAAGAGGCGCCCCAGAGGCTCCCAAGAGGACCCCGAGAGGCTCTCAACCCCACAACTGCCCCCGAGAGGCCCGCGAGAGCGCTCCGAAGAGGACCCCCGAAAGCATCCCTGAGGACTCTGACCGCAACTCTGGCACGGTGGCGGGGTGGGCGGAAGGCCATTTGATAACAATGTACATCGCATCCTTGTGATGCTGACTGATTTTAGCATACTCACCAAATCTGGCCTCCGAAAGCCTAAGACGGCCCAAGAAGATCTCCATGAAGGTTCCAAGACGGCCCAACAGGATCCCACGAGGGCCCCAAGACGGCCCGGGGGGGCCGAAGACGGCCCCAGAGTGCCTCAAGACGGATTAAGGGAGGCCCAATACGCCAGCAAGACGACCCAATAGGCCCCAAAGAAGGTCCTGACATGGGCCCAACCTAACCTTGACAACCTTTTCCCACAGGATTGCCTCACGGACCTCCGATATGCCCCCAAGAGGCCCCTCAGATGCCCCCAGAAGCCCCCAACATGCCCTCGAGAGGCCCCAGAGACCCCTTAAAAGCCTCCCAGAGGCCCCTCTAGAGACCACCAAAGGTCTTTAAACTTACCTCGAAGGCTCCCAAGAGGCCCTCAAGAGGCCCCAGACAAGCTCAATCTCCTTCACGCTGCGCTGCTGCGCTACTGCGCTGGCGTGGTGGCGGGGCTTGCAGCAGGCAGCTGGATAGTCATCAGAGTCGCTCGTGATCTTGACAAGCCCCAGGTCCCTGATTCAGGCCGTCCGAAGCGTTTCTGGGTGCTCTTTTCTTGTCCGCGTTGCTCTTTTCAAGGCTTGCGGGAGGCCATTGGAAATCTACACTTCCAGCCTGCCCTCAGATGGCTCCATTAGCCCCCACACAAGACGGCCACAGAAGGCGCCAAACGGCACAACCGCGCCCTAAGACGGCCCCAGAGCCCAAAGATGGCACAAGCTGGCCCCAGGAGGCCTCGAAGAACCGAATAACTAGAAACAGCTCCAAGACAGCCCCAGACCCCCCTCCCCAAGTGTTCCCGCATAGTTTCCCGAACAACTGGGGGAACCCGCAATCCACTGGCGTGGCCGCACTTTCGCTCGACATTTCACAGCACATGCGTTCCCCACATACAGGGGCGGTGATGACTCGCCGTAGCCGTTTTCGATCACTACACATGAGTGCCTTCCGCGTGCGTGGGTCAACTAAGAGGCTGACCAAACCATATACATTCAAACGCAGCTATCACTTCTTTCCACGAGCGCGGTTCAAAATCTCATGCGAAGCAGCGTTCAGGAAGTCAAGCGCCACACTAGGACGCTAGCGCCTCCGTTCGATGCCCGCGACATACCAAACATAACAATGCGGGCAAGCTGGGCACATTCCTGGAAAGGGGTAGGAACGATCCGGAGCAGGAGGAACGTCTGGATGTTTCTGTCTGCTTCTCCTGTTAGCTGGCCTGCTGGCTGGAGGGCCCTTGGGCAGCTCCTGGGCCTTGGAGCTCTCGACCCAGTCCCTGGGACAAGTTTTGCGCCGCGGGTGGCTGCACCGAAAAATGTGCACATGCATCGGCGATGCATGCAGGGATCCTCTCAAACGTTCATGCGTGAGTGCGTACGTGTGCACGTGTCTGAGCGAGTGGAGTGTGTGAAGGAGCATGGCAGCATGGGGAAAAGGGATGCAAAAACGAGGGGGCAGGGAAGTGGAGAGGTGGACGGCGGGAGGGCATGAAGAAAGGCAGCGAGGGAGCACGGGAAGGAATGCGGGGGAGCAGACGCCACTGGAGCATAGCCCACTCACGTAGCAGAAAGACGAACGACGGGCTGCTTGCGCGTGGACTCAAATAACAACTCGTGCAATCTCACTGCCGCGCTGCGGATGCCACACGGCGCCTCTCCTTCAGGCAGAGGACCGCGGGCACGCCCAAGTGCAAGACTGCATAGGAGAACACAACGCCGCCCACTGCGGTGCTCATCGCGCGTGTCGCCCCTGCACAGAGGAGAGCCAAACAAGCGACCGCGATCGACACGTGGACCGTAGCGTTGCCAATGAGTGCACGGCAGAGCGACCTGCCGGGCTCCGCGGACTCCAGCGCGGCCACAGAAGTAAGGCTGGCGAGCACCGCCAAGAAAGCCGCCACGTGGCAGAGGCCTGCGGAAAAGTCCTCGGGGAGGCCTGTGGCTGCGGCACGAGGGCCCCAAGACGGCCCGGGGGGGCCGAAGACGGCCCCAGAGTGCCTCAAGACGGATTAAGGGAGGCCCAATATGCCAGCAAGACGACCCAATAGGCCCCAAAGAAGGTCCTGACATGGGCCCAACCTAACCTTGACAGCCTTTTCCCACAGGATTGCCTCACGGACCTCCGATATGCCCCCAAGAGGCCCCTCAGATGCCCCCAGAAGCCCCCAACATGCCCTCGAGAGGCCCCAGAGACCCCTTAAAAGCCTCCCAGAGGCCCCTCTAGAGACCACCAAAGGTCTTTAAACTTACCTCGAAGGCTCCCAAGAGGCCCTCAAGAGGCCCCAGACAAGCTCAATCTCCTTCACGCTGCGCTGCTGCGCTACTGCGCTGGCGTGGTGGCGGGGCTTGCAGCAGGCAGCTGGATAGTCATCAGAGTCGCTCGTGATCTTGACAAGCCCCAGGTCCCTGATTCAGGCCGTCCGAAGCGTTTCTGGGTGCTCTTTTCTTGTCCGCGTTGCTCTTTTCAAGGCTTGCGGGAGGCCATTGGAAATCTACACTTCCAGCCTGCCCTCAGATGGCTCCATTAGCCCCCACACAAGACGGCCACAGAAGGCGCCAAACGGCACAACCGCGCCCTAAGACGGCCCCAGAGCCCAAAGATGGCACAAGCTGGCCCCAGGAGGCCTCGAAGAACCGAATAACTAGAAACAGCTCCAAGGCAGCCCCAGACCCCCCTCCCCAAGTGTTCCCGCAATAGTTTCCCGAACAACTGGGGGAACCCGCAATCCACTGGCGTGGCCGCACTTTCGCTCGACATTTCACAGCACATGCGTTCCCCACATACAGGGGCGGTGATGACTCGCCGTAGCCGTTTTCGATCACTACACATGAGTGCCTTCCGCGTGCGTGGGTCAACTAAGAGGCTGACCAAACCATATACATTCAAACGCAGCTATCACTTCTTTCCACGAGCGCGGTTCAAAATCTCATGCGAAGCAGCGTTCAGGAAGTCAAGCGCCACACTAGGACGCTAGCGCCTCCGTTCGATGCCCGCGACATACCAAACATAACAATGCGGGCAAGCTGGGCACATTCCTGGAAAGGGGTAGGAACGATCCGGAGCAGGAGGAACGTCTGGATGTTTCTGTCTGCTTCTCCTGTTAGCTGGCCTGCTGGCTGGAGGGCCCTTGGGCAGCTCCTGGGCCTTGGAGCTCTCGACCCAGTCCCTGGGACAAGTTTTGCGCCGCGGGTGGCTGCACCGAAAAATGTGCACATGCATCGGCGATGCATGCAGGGATCCTCTCAAACGTTCATGCGTGAGTGCGTACGTGTGCACGTGTCTGAGCGAGTGGAGTGTGTGAAGGAGCATGGCAGCATGGGGAAAAGGGATGCAAAAACGAGGGGGCAGGGAAGTGGAGAGGTGGACGGCGGGAGGGCATGAAGAAAGGCAGCGAGGGAGCACGGGAAGGAATGCGGGGGAGCAGACGCCACTGGAGCATAGCCCACTCACGTAGCAGAAAGACGAACGACGGGCTGCTTGCGCGTGGACTCAAATAACAACTCGTGCAATCTCACTGCCGCGCTGCGGATGCCACACGGCGCCTCTCCTTCAGGCAGAGGACCGCGGGCACGCCCAAGTGCAAGACTGCATAGGAGAACACAACGCCGCCCACTGCGGTGCTCATCGCGCGTGTCGCCCCTGCACAGAGGAGAGCCAAACAAGCGACCGCGATCGACACGTGGACCGTAGCGTTGCCAATGAGTGCACGGCAGAGCGACCTGCCGGGCTCCGCGGACTCCAGCGCGGCCACAGAAGTAAGGCTGGCGAGCACCGCCAAGAAAGCCGCCACGTGGCAGAGGCCTGCGGAAAAGTCCTCGGGGAGGCCTGTGGCTGCGGCCACGAGCCCGACGGGTGGCCCGAGCATGATCAGAAGAACGGCGCCAGCGCACCCGAGGGAAAACTCGAGCGCAACGTAAGCGCTGAGCGGTGCTGTGGCGGGGGCCTTGTCATACTTCGTGCGCGGATTCAGCCGCATGCCCAGCCGAGGGCAAGAACCGTTCGGTGGCGTCCAGTGCACGAACAAAGTCTTCCAGCCATGCCACCTGCGCTGCACCATAAGCATATGGTGCCAATGAACAATATTGGCCCAGAGGGGACTCCAACTGTTCAGTGGTGGAACAATACCATAATAAATCTCCTCGCCCTCCGAGGGCTCTGACTCAAAGGTTCCACCAACGCGATCCCACAAGCTGAAAATCGAGCCGTAATTCTTGCCGAGTAGGTGAGCATTCCTCGCGTGGTGGATACGGTGGAGGGACGCCGTGTTGAAGACAAGCTCTATGGTTGGCAAAGGAGGCACCAGCTGGGTGTGTATCCAGAACTGGTACAAGAGGCTGAACTCACCGTGAAGCGTCGCCATCTCTGGTGGGAAGAAGAAAGCCATGCCCGTAGAGGAGAGAAGCAGCGAGGGCGTCAAGAAGTCGATGGCCGGCTGCCTCAATGCCGTGCTCAAATTGTACTCCTCCGAACTATGGTGTACTACGTGTCCGGCCCAGAGCCAAGAAATTGTGTGGCTTGCCCGGTGGTAGACGTAGTACAGTATGTCGTTCATCAGCAGACAGAGCCACCAACCCATGACGCTGTGCAAGTCTAGAAACGCGTCCGTCACGCGGAAGTGCGAGTAGATGGAGGTGTAAAGCGGCTTTGCCCACTGAAAGAGGATAACCTGCGCTGCCAGCATGTACAATACACCTGTGGATAAGGATGACATGGTGTCGTTTATCCGGTACACGTGCTTCGGCCTCCAGGTCGGCGGGACAACCACACAAATCATGAACGCTTCCCAGACCATGGAGGCAACAAACCAGGGGATGGCCAGCATCAAGTAAGGCTGGGTGACCAAGTCGACAGTGCTGTCCTCGCCCCGCTCGAAGCGGGAGTAGCCAATCGGGTACAGAACGCGGAAGAACCATGGTCCCTCTGGCAAGTGGCCGACCTGCTGCAGCACGGTGGAGAGCAGAAGTGGGAAGCCAGAGCCGTAGATCAGCAGCAGTGCAAAGACTGCGTACCCCAGCCTCGCTGCGAAACGCCTTCCTATGCATGACCTCTCGAATCCGTGCCGGCCCTGCTGGCCTGGCCGTTCACAAGGAGGCTCTGCAGCACTTGGCCCGTGCAAGTGCGGCAGCAGGGCCCCCCGCGCCGGGATGGGCTCCAGCATGGCAGTCGCGCTCGCAGAATGGGGGCCCTGAGGGACACTCTTGAGCACGAATGGCTTCGACCTGAATGGAGGGGGGAAGGGGGCAAGACAAGGCAAGGCAATGAGTCGGGGCCGTTCGTGTACTAGCATCCAGGTGATGCATATGGCAGATTCCCAACAAATGCTAGCTCCCAAGGGTGGCCCAAGGGTGGCCCAATCCCCTATCCCAGGCGAGTCGAATCCCCCGCCAGAAGCAGTATCAAACTGAGCTAGAAGTCGCGAGCTGAACACGACTTTCTCGCGAAGTCCACAATTTGGACTTCCAGCTGCATTCGGCAAGATGAATCATCCGTATGCCAAACATTCTGCTTCTGCGACACCCGCTGGGCACACGGTGCACCAGGCCTCCTCCCCGGGCCTGCTCCCTCCTGGGGAATACCATTATCTGCACTCGCCCTCATATCTGGAGGCCTCTCAGATAGGGCCCGAGTAGATGGGGTCGGAGGATTGCGCCGCACCGCCAATGCACCGCTGATGAATCGGTGATGCACGGGCGATGCATCGGCGCCGTCCGCGTGGAGGCGATCGGGCTCCACGTCGAGCCGCATCGCCAGTGCATCGGCGATGCCGCGCGTGCCTCCGACCCCGTCTGCCCGGACCCCACCTGGGAGGCCTGCACGAATCCAGGTGTTGGTCCCTTCGACTCCACAAGGATGCCTAACTTCGCGCATCGCGCCGCGCGAATCACCTCGCGCTCTCGCGCCGCCCCCAGGGGGAGAAGAGGAGGACGAGGAAGAGGAATCGGAGCTGAACCGCGAAGCGCGAATGACTTCGCGCCCTCGAAGACGCCCTCGACTCCATCCACGACCCTCTGCTCTCATCTTCTCTCCCCCGTGTCCTCGGCTGCCCTCCCCCCCCACTCTTTCCCGCACGGACGCCGCGCCCCGCCCTCTCGCCTCCCCTCGCTCCCCCCCTGTGCGTGCTTGACCGCGCACGCGCCCAGAAGATTGCCCCGGGTGCCCCGCTCGCAACGTGCGCCCTGAGCCGTCCCTCGCATTGCGAGCCGGGACTCAGCCAGATACACCATCGGGGACCTACTGACCCGGGTCCATCCAGACCCGGGTCAGTCAGGCTTTGCAGAATCCTGCAAGGTCCTACAGGATCCTGCAAGATCCTGCGCCCAGCTGGCTCTGAAGGATCCTGCAAGATCCGTCGCTCTGGCTGACCCCCGTTTGCATTGACCCCCGCCGCAAGGCTCCCGACACCACCTGGGGAACCGACGTCCGGGGACCCCAGGGGGCGGTGGATATGGAGACATTTGGGCCCCAGGGGGGGCCAAGATAAATCCGTATCCGACGCCTCCCGAGGTCCCCGAAGATCGATCCCCCAGGCGGTGGTTCTGGATGGATTCCCGCTTCGGGAGCACTCCACCTGCCACCACCTGCCCTTCGAGCCCTGGGCTTGTGTTCCTCCTCCTCCTTCTCCTCCTCCTCCTCCTCCTCCTCCTCCTCCTCCCTCCAGCTCTTCCTCCTCCTCCTCCTCCCTCCTCCTCTTCCTCCTCCTCCTCCTCCTGGCCGGTGGGACCTATGGAGGATATCGGCGGCGCCCAGTGGCTGCCAGAGCGTCCGGCCCGAGGCACTCCCTGGGCTGGGGGCGTCTCTGTTGCGGGCGTGAAGCGGGAACGTGAGAGGGGGGGGGCCAGCTCGGGGGAGAAACTTCAACCTGGAATCGGCGGTAAATTGCCGACAGCTCGGCGATGTGCCCCCGAGAGCGACACCGCACGGTCCTGGGTGGGGCAGACCATGGGGCCCCCCCCCCCTCGGTGACCAATGAATGGTTGAGGGTCGATGCGCCCCCCCCCCCTTTGAGCCTATCCCCCCTTACGTTGCCCCCGCTGGCGTGAACCGTGGCTGTTCGTCCGCTCGCCAACCAGGACTTGCAGCCCTGGTCCTGGTCCCGCCTCGCTCTGGGGAGCCCCGACAGTCGGCGGTACGCTCTCAGCCCTGACGTGGCAGAAGATTGCAGCCTCGGAAGGATCGCCACAGGAGCCCCAGACCCCATGTTCCTGCGCCGTTCTTCGAGCTGGATCGATATGTGAGGGTCCCGGGGCCCTATGTTGGGCGGAAGCGCTGGTTGCGAACAAAAATTGAAGCGCCAGGATCTCAAGGAGGGTACGCGGAGCGGCGCTCAGGCGGAGGGTGCCTCAGGCTGAGCGGCTGGAACGGGAACGTGCGGATGGCCTCGCTGGCCCGCGCGGGCGCGTGCGCGCAGGCGCTGCGAGCAACGCCCTCTGCCCCCCCGGCCCTGGCGCTTCGACGCTCTTCCTGCTGGTGATGCTGCCTCCCTTTCCCGTGTGCGCGCCCTGGGCGGCCACGGCACGTGGTGCGACTGGGTCACGCAGGCCAGGGGGCCCGAATAACGGCTGCGACTCACAGTAGCTGCCGCCAGCGGTCGCGTCCTCTCCATGGCCAAGGGCCAACGGTGCGGACTGCCCGACGTGCGGATCGCCCAGCGCCTGGGCTCCCCAGAGAGGGTGGCCGCCCACAACGGCCCTCTGCAGAGGCAACCCGCGCGGAGCGCCAGAAGCTTTGCCTATGGCGCTTCTCTTCCTCGACTTCCACCGCTTCCTGCCTGTTTCGGCCGGCGGAGGCGGTACCCACGCCCAAAGCTGAGGAGGAGGAGGAGGAGGAGGAGGAGGAGGAGGAGGAGGAGGAGGAGGAGGAGGAGGAGCTACCAGGCGGGCGGCCCGTTGACGCGGCACCGCTGGCTGTGGTTCTTCTTGTGTCGTGGCGTGCAGTGCCCCGACCCAGGGGGGCAGAGGAAAGTAGCGGGAGGCAGGCCAGAAACGGGCCAGAGACAACGGGCCAGGGGGCGAAGGGAATTCCAGGCGCAAGCGTACCTCCTCCTCGGTCCTCCTCCTCCTCCTGCTCGGTTCTGCTCCTCCTCCTCCTTCTCCGCCTGCTCCTCCTCCTCCTCCTTCTCCGCCTCCTCCTCGTCCTCCTCCTCCTCGTCATCCTCCATGTCGGGCCTCCTGCCCCAACTCGGTCCTCCTGCTGCTCGTCCTACGCCTTCTCCTTCTCCCATCCTGCTCCGGCTGCCCCTTCTCATCCAGAGACCGCCGTTGCTCCGCCTCCTCCCAAATCCCGCTGCTGCTGCTGCGGCTGCTGCTCCTCCCCTGCGCCAGCGCCGCATCCGACCAACGTCGGGCGCGAGCGACCGTCGGTCGGAGCGTTCAGCGGAGCGCCCGACGGACGACGGGGTGGTCCTGCTTCAGCTCGCCCGCCTCCAGGCTACGCGCGGAGGCGGGTTGCGCCTTCCTTCGCCCTGCGCGTGGCAGCGACTAGACGAGCTCTTGCTCACACTCCGAACGACCCAGGCGGGACTCTTGAAAGGCGTTCCCCACACGAGTCCGATTCTTGAAATCCGGAACCCACAAATGTTGCTCTCGCTTGGGCGCATATTTTACTTTCGCTGGCCTTCCGCCAGCGGGGGCGGCCTTCTGTTACTTCCGCCGGCTTCCGCTGCCCTTCCGCAGAGGAAGGGATGTCATTTCCTTCGATCCTCGACAACGAGGCCCTGTCTTTTTGTCCCAACCATCATGTGGTGTTGGGTCCTCGTTTTGAAGAGACAGTCCCTGCGCCTCCTCCTTCCTCCTCCCCCTCCTCCTCCTCCTCCTCCTCCTCCTCCTCCCCCTCCTTCTCCTCCTCCTCCTCTTCTTCTCTTCCCTGCCTCTGCTCTCCGCGCCGCACACGTTTTGGCGCACCGCACCCATTTCGGTACACCCCATCACGAGGATCGTGGCCCCGTACGGCGCTCCACAGAAGCCTCCGATGGCAGGGGTCGCAAGGGGGCTCCGCACCCATTTCGGTACACCCCATCACGAGGATCGTGGCCCCGTAGGGAGCTCCACAGAAGGCTCCGATGGCAGGGTTCGCAAGGGGGCTCCGCACCCATTTCAGTACACCTCATCACGAGGATAGTGGCCCGGAGCTCCACAGAAGGCTCTAGTGGCAAGGGTTGCATGGCTGCGCCGCACCCATGTCGGTAACCTCTCACAAGGATCGTGGCCCCGTTGGGAGCTCCACGGCACACCGGAGTAGGAGGAGGAGGAAGAGGAGGAGGATGAGGAGGAGGAGGGGGAGGGCGGGAGAGGGAACCTGAAAAAGACTCCCTGTCCCGCTTGGCATTGCCCGAGAGACACCCTGAAAAGACTCCTTGTCCGATGGCGGGAAAGGAAGCATGGAAAGGTTCTCTGTCCTCTCAAGCAGCCTGTCTGAGCTCTTCTGTTCGCTCGAGTTCGTCCTTATCTGATATGTTCAGGTTTTCGGACTCTCGCTGTTTTGGGTGTGGGAGGGGGCCCGCCTTCGGGCCCTGGGGACCCTCAGAAACAGCTTTAGGGCGAAAAACTGCACGCCCCTCAAACGCCTCCTCCTCCTCCTCCTCCTCCTCCTCCTCCTCCTCCTCCTCCTCCGCCTCCGCCTCCGCCTCCGCCTCCGCTTCGTGGCCCCATAAGGAGCTCCACCGAAGGTCACAGCGGCCGTCATCGCATGCGTCCCCCTGCAGCCCGCATCCGGTACCCGCCCCATGTTGGCATACCCCTCACGCGGATCGCCCGTCTCACGCGGTTCGCGGCCCCATAGGGAGTTCCCCCTCGATCGTCCCGCCTGCCCTGCGGTACTCACAACTGCATATGGCTGGGTCCTTGGCCAAGATAACTGCTTTGTGTCTCTCTCGATCTAGAGGTGCATCTAGAGAGCGACGAGGAGAAACGATCAGTGAAGATTTTGTGGTTTTGGTGGTTTGGGGGTGCTGGGGGGGGGGGCGACCATATAGCTTGCCCTCCCCCCAGCACCCCCAAACGACGGACTGGGGAGGGGGGGGGTGCATCCTCCTCATCTTCGTCGTCCTTCTCATCGTCCTCCTCTCCTCACCCTGATCTCCTTATCTCCTTATCGTATCTCCTCCTCCTCCTCCTCCTCTCCTCCTGCGTCTCCCAAGCCAAGGAAACCTAAAATGCATTGTGTATGGCGCCGTCGGTGCAAGGAAATGCTGTTTTTTTTGTTTTTTGTTGTTGTTTTTTTGGTCTGAGAAGCAAGGAAACGCTGTGTATTTTTGTTTGTTTTTTGTTTTTTGGTTTTGCAAGCCCGAATGCCCGCGCTGGCCTCCCTCTCAGCACCCTTCCATGCGCCTCAGACCAAGAAAACCAAACATACACAGTGTTTGGCGCCCTCGGTGCAAGGAAACGCTGTGTATGTTTTGTTTTTTTGGGTTTTTTGGTTTGAGAATCAAGGAAACCTTTTTTTTGCAAGCTCTAAGGGTGCTGGGAGGGAGGCTGGTGCGAGCGTCGGGGCTTCCCCCCCCCCCCCCCCCCCCCCCCAAAAAAAAACAAGGTTTCCTTGATTCTCAAACAAAAAAAGCGTTTCGTTGCACCGAGGGCGCCAAACACTGTGTATGTTTGGTTTGTTGTTTAATATATGTTTTGGTTTTGCAAGCCCCTTTCCTTTCCTCTTCCTTGTTGCAAAACAAGAAAACCAAACATACACAGTGTTTGGCGCCCTCGGTGCAAGGAAACGCTGTGTATTTTTGTTTTTTTTTTTTGTTTGGTTTGAATCAAGGAAACCTTGTATTTTTTTTTTTTTTTTTTTGGTTTTGGAAGCCCCGACGCTCGCACCAGCCTCCCTCCCAGCACCCTTAGAGCTTGCAAAACAAAAAACAAAAAAAACACAAGGTTTCCTTGATTCTCAAACCAAAAAAACCAAAAAACCAAACATACACAGCGTTTCCTTGCACCGAGGGCGCCAAACACTGTGTATGTTTGGTTTTCTTGGTCTGAGGCGCATGGAAGGGTGCTGAGAGGGAGGCCAGCGCGGGCATTCGGGCTTGCAAAACCAAAAAAAAAAAAAACAAACATACACAGCGTTTCCTTGCTTCTCAGACAAAAAAATACACAGCATTTCCTTGCACCGACGGCGCCATACACAATGCATTTTAGGTTTCCTTGGCTTGGGAGACGCAGGGAAGGAGGAGGAGGAGGAGGAGGAGGAGGAGGAGGAGGAGGGGGAGGAGAAGGAGGGAGGAGGAGGAGGAGGAGGAGGAGGAGGAGGAGAGCGACGAGGAGAAACGATCAGTGAAGATTTTGTGGTTTGAGGAGGAGAGCGACGAAGAGAAACGATCAGTGAAGATTTTGTGGTTTTGGTGGTTTGGGGGTGCTGGGGGGGGGGGGGGGGGCGACCATAAATATAGGTGCGTCTATACATATCTCCTTATCTCTCTCTCTCTCCCTCTTTCACTCTGATTCCAACTCTCTCTCTACCTCTCTCTCTCTCTCTACGTGTATATATACAGTATATAAGTTAAACTATAAACTAGAACCATCGCGCGCGCTTCGCGCGCGCTCAGGTTCTAGCAGGCCCCAGGCCTTGACGAACTCACTGCTCCACTGAAGTAGTGAACCACAGTCCACGCATACCAATCTGCATTCCGAAAGGCCTTCGAGGAAAATGGTTGTGTAGGGGGGCGGAGGCCGTATGAACCGGGTTCCCAGAAGACCTTCTGGGAGCATGGGTTTGGGGCGTCTTGGGGAGCCTGTTGGGGCGTGCCGTCGTCGTCGTCGTCGTCGTCGTCGTGCTGCTACGACCCATTCCCGAACCTGACCTTGGGGGTGGCCTAACCTGGCGCAACCCCGATTGGCAACAGACCTGACACGCTCCGTCCAAACCGAACGCCAGGTTCGCACTCGCCCAGCACGAAGGGACGGCAGCTGCGGACGCCAGTTGTCTCGCGCCGAGTCCGTACGTTTTACTACGGGGACGGGCTGATTGTGCCTCTTGAAGGCCCTCTTGGGGCCCTCTTCGGCTATCTTCAAGCCATCTCGGGCACTCTTGGGCCTCGCTGAGGCTGTCCTGGGGCCCAATAGGGAGCTCTGGGAGCCCAGAAGTCATGTTCCCGGAGAGGCTTCCGGGAACATGATTTCGAACGGGGCCCTCTTGGGCCTCCCTGAGGCCGTCTTGGGGGCCTCCTGGGCCGGCTTCGGGGCCTCTTGGGCCGCCTTGGGGGGTTCCGTGAGCCCCACAGGCCTACCCCTTTGGGCCGTCTGGGGCCCTCTTGGGTCTCTCTTGGGCTGTCTTGGGGCTCCTCGGGGGCGTCTGAGGCACTGTGAAGACGAAGCCAGCGAGTATGCTGAAAACGGATGTTTTACGATGGAAGTGGGCCGATGTGTGCCTCTTGAAGGCCCTCTCGGGGCC